TGGCTCCCTCCGAGAAGAGCTCGACCTCGTCGAAGAAATCCGCGCAGGAGCAGCTCTCCGGGAAGCCCGGCTGAAGCAACAAGTCACACTTCGCCATAACAACAAAGTCATAAAACGCGATTTTCAAACTGGCGACTTAGTTCTACGCAGAAACCAGAAAGACTCCCACGAGGGCAAACTGGCGGCGAACTGGGAAGGCCCGTACCGAGTCCGGGACAAAACGGAGCATGGGGCCTATTACCTCGAAAACCTGCACGGTGAACAATTAGCTCGACCATGGAACGCCGCGAAACTTAAGCGGTACTACAGTTAACACATTGCCCGCGACGACCCATCGTCCCGACCACTGGGGGGGCGACTTGGTACCACCGCACACCCCCGCGTCCACCAGCGACCAAAGAAAAGCAAGCCCTGCCTCTCGTGTGCGCGGGCAGAAGGCCTTGCTCGGCAGGGAATACCTCGACCGAGGCTCCTCGCCGCCGTACCAAAACAGGCAGGACACCCAGCTCGCGATGGGCCGTCCACGCCCCGGGGAAAACTACCCCCGAAACGGCCCGGCTGCATCCCCGGCCAAACCGGCCAGTTCCCTACACTACCGGTAACAAATTGTCGAGCTAAACACACCGAGCGCACACTTAGAAAATCTACAAGAAATGTCATACACATCAAAGGCATTCGAACAAATACGAAAAACGAGCATAAAACAACATGCAAATAACGAGCGCACACTTAGAAAATCCATGATAAATATATTTAACAAAACGGGCACCAGCCCAGTAGTCAATAGTACAAAAACGAGCACGCAGGCCCAAAGCAAAAGATAAACACCGGCACGCAGGCCACAAAAACAACGAGCACGCAGGCCCGACAACCTATGCTTCCTCGTCCGCTCGGTCAGCAGCCACGGTTTCCTCCTCGGGGGTAACAAGATAAGGATCGATCACCCTCCCATCAACAATCTCGTGGTACGGCCCTATCCCGTCCACGACCAGCTCGACATCAGGGTTGGCGACCTGAATCTGCTCGACCGCATTCTTGAACCCGACCTCAACGGCCTCCAGACAATCGCTCTCCAACACCCGGATACGGGCAATCAAGTCAGCACGGGTGATTAGCCGCCGATCCCCATCAGTCTCGTCCTCGGCCGGACGAACAGCGCTGTCCAAAACCTCCGTACGAACCTTCAGCGCCTGCACCTCGGCCGTCGCTGTCCCCAGCTTCTCCTCCAGCGAAGTCACCTTCCCCTCAGCACCCTCTGCCCGTTTCCGCTGCTCGGCAGAATCCTTCTGGCTCTTCTCCAACTCCTCAGTGAGCTTGGCCAACCGCGACTGCGTGAAAGAGAGATCCCCCTGCAGTTTGGACAGCTCAGCAGCGGAGCAGCCCTCCTCGTTCAGCACGAGAGCCGTCGTAAACGTCCGCATCATCGCGGCCAAGTCCTCAGCCAGGACACGTCGACGGGTCTCCCGATCAGCCTGGCGAACAGCCTTCACCTCCCCGGCGGAAACAGTGGGGGAACGGGCATCATGAAAATATCCCGGGTGCTGGTGGCAGGGAGGGACGACGTAACCTTCCTCGACGGCGCCGACCGTCAGATCCACCACCCGAGGCTCCTCGGACCTTTGCCTCTTCGACACTCCTTGAGACACAGGGGATTGGCTCTCTTGAGGCGACGAGGACGAAGTTTGACCCCCCTGCGTCGCGACCTCCTGACTGACCAGCTGACTCACCCTCGTCCTCGGGGCCACGGCATTCCTGGCAGCGCGCAACTGCTTCACCCGCTCGTCGACAGTAGACATATTCGCTGCAAAAACAAAGAAATAGGTTAGTGACGATCAAAAAACCCGACCACGAGGGAAAACGAACATCCCTACCTAGATAATCCAGAGCGGCCGCCCCGGTCGCGCAGCCGAGCAAAGTCTTGGTATTTATCACACGCTTCTTGGTGCGTATGTTCCCCTGGGCGTCGAGGATGTACCGACCGTCGGGCGTCACCAGCTTCGACGGGGGGAGTGACCGCACAAAAGCAATTATTTTCAAATAAGCGGCCATGTCCTTCTCCTCGAGGGTCCCCGCCCGGACGATATACCTATCCGTCCCTCGACTGAAATGCTCCGAGGTCCACAGTAGATGTATCTTAGGAAGCCACGCGCGGAACCGCTGGCCATCTACCGTGCGCTCGCCCTCGTCAAAGAGAGTGTCCGAGCCGTGCTGCGTGATCGGTTTGACGAGGTAGAACCGACCCTTGAAGTCTTTGACAGAATCGCTATACGCTTTGAAAATTTTGGTCGATTGTTTGAAAGAGACCCATCCGTGACGACCTCGCACCGTCTGCCGCTGCAAATGAAAGATGCGGAAGAATAACGGCACCGTCGGCTCCACCGAGAGGTAGAAACACACCACCTCGAAAGCCCGGATGAAAGCCAAAGCGTTTGGGTGCAGCTGAGACGGGGCAAGACGCAGCCAGTCAAAAAGCCCCAGATGGAAGGCGGAAAACGGTAACCGGAGCCGAGCTTCTTTAAAATAAAATTCGTACATCGGGAACATCTTCCGCCCATAGCGAGAACAGATCCGGTGGTGCTCTTTCGGGCGATACACCTGCCAGTGTTGCGTTTCTCCTAGCGGCGTGTCCTCGACCGTGGCATACACGTCGGACGGGTCGACCACAAAGCAAGAGGGGATGGAAAGTGGCTCCTCGGCCGCCCACTCCTCGGGCGGGGCGATACGCTCGTCGTCATACTCCGGGACCTCGGGTTCAGTATCTTCAACCATTATCCCCGGCACCAGAGCCGACATCTACACCTGAAAGCAGAGGACATCGGTGAATTCGATAGCCAGGATCAAATCCACCCTTCCACCGCAAGTCAAGTGAAAGGGCGACAAAGGCCGAGGAGCGACGAGCAGACATTCACTCCCCGTCTGCCCTCCTCGGGGGTCGAAGAACGACCCCTCACCCCCTTCGGGACGGCCGTCGGAGAAGGTACTTCTCCACGGAGCATTCATCGGAGAAAAGCCCCCGTCCTCGGGGCATTCATCGGAGAAAAGCCCCTGTCCTCGGGGCATTCGTCAGAAAAAGCTCCTGTCCTCGGGGCATTCATCGGAACTAGCCTACCGTCCCCGGGACATTCATCGGAAAACTCGCCAGACGCGGCGGAACTCGCATCCCTCCTCGGGGCGTTCATCGCGCCCCGACCACACGTTCCAGTTAGACGACGGAAATAAAAAGAGAGGGAAAAGAGGAACTCACTTGTAACGGCGGCGGACGGAAGAAAAAAGCAAATGGCACGGCGTTGATCGGCGGCAAGCGGCGGACGAGCAGAGACGATGAAAGATTAGCAGGGAGAAAAGTAACAGAATGAGCGGGGACCGCCATATTTATAACCCGGCGCGAGACTCGAAGCGACTCTAGGCTCATTAATGACATAGGTTAGCCGCCCCTACGACCGCTTAACACAAGACACGTGGAGGCAACCTGACAGACGCGTCCCTTCATCTGCCTCCTCCCCGTTCTACCGACGACCGGAGCCCTTCGTGCGAATCCCCGCTCCAGACATGACGACCTTAAGTCCTCGCTCTTCCCCAGAGCTTCGACTTGGGGGGGCTCCTGTTCCGGTGTGGGCCTCACCTCGGCAGGCCCAATACCAAATGCGGCCCAACAAGCGAACTGGGCACGCCTGGCACGCGCCCCTTCGAACGAGCAGGACTGGCCGCCGGGCACAAGCTACCGCTCCGCGTCCCCTTTTGTCGCCCGTCACGCCGGACGAGCAGGACTACCCGGGCTCCCCTCCGCGGGGAGAATAACGTGCTCGGCGCACGTTCTCCACGTGCTCCCCTCCGCGGGGACACGTCATCGGCCAACCGCCCACCTCCGAAAGAGCAGGTCAAACCCACTTTCCGGAGACCTAGGAGCGGTTGAACTAGGGCGAAGACCACGTCCTGGTCTTCACTACGCCACGTAAGCCCTAGCAGTCATTAGGGTTGGGCCTGGTCGTCCGGCCCACCTCGAATGACTGTTGGCCCAGCGCTGGGGTCTCTCTATAAATACCCTCTTCTTCAAGAGGGTCAGGTAACTCTTCTTGCCCCTTTTTCTGTACTATCGCTTCCTCTCTGTCCAACTTCTTACTTGGGCGTCGGAGTGCTTTGCAGGTACACCCCCCTCCTCTTTCTTACCCCGGCGAACAGATAACCGTCCAGCGAAGTGTGGCCAGTCCGTGATCCCTCCTGATCAGGTCAGATCAGTTTTGTTTGCATGATATATCATAAGTCCAATCTCCAATCCACAACCTCTTCAAATCATCAATTAAAGGTTATAAGTACACATCGATTCCGGCTTTTGGACTCGAAGGTCCTGGAATGAGGCAGGTCAAAAACATGTATGGTTTTGTCATGCACATCTTAGGAGGGAGTTTGTAACGGGTTACAATAACTGGCCCACAAGAATATCCACTTCCAGGCGCTTGGACATATGGAGTAAAACCATCAGAGCATAATCCAAGCCTGACATTTCTAGGTTCTGCGGAAAAATCATTATGTATGTGATCAAAGTACTTCCATGCCTTGTCATCAGATGGATGTCGCATAGTGCCTGAACTTGTTTTGTTTGTATGATACCATGTCATTTAACTTGCATTGTGCATTGAAGCAAACATTCTTTTTAACCTTGGCATTATCGGAAGATAAAACATGGACTTCATTGCTACACGTTTTTGCTTAAGGTTAATGGCTTTTCCGCGAACTTGATATCTTGAACTCTTAAAAAACTTACGTTCCTCCAACGCTCCATCACTAGTACCAAACTCATTGTCACAAAATAACGTGCAACCACTAATACAACAATCAATCTTTCTTACTTCTAAACCCAACTCTGACACCAACTTCTTTGCATCATGAAAACTTGTAGGCAAGTTTTTTGTCATAGGAGTCGCGTCGAGCATAATTTTTTTGAAGAATTCCAAAAACTAATCAGGAACATTCCAATTTGACTTGGCGGCCAATAATATCACTCACATTGATAATTTTGAGTCTGACGGCCCCTCAAACAATGATGTATTCATCTCATTCAACAACTGATAAAATCTTTGCGCTTCCTCATTCGGCAACTCTTTCCCATCAAAATCTTCAAGTTCATCATAGGTCACATTCACACCAAAAGCATCTCCCACCTTCTCACCGATCAGATTAAATTTTTCCCCATGTTCCATCGGTGATCGACTACTTGAAGCATATATATTACTGGTCTCTGGTACGCTACTCGGCAGTTCTTCTCCATTATATGTCCAAACCCAATAATTTTCAATGAAACCCCTTGTCTTCAAATGACGTTCTACTTCCTCTGGGTCACTAATTATAGGTATGCATTCACATTTAAGACAAGGACTTCTAACTCCTCCTTCCCTTTGACAACATTCCTGAGAAAATGCCCATGTGATAAACCTTTTGACTCCTTCCCCAAAATTTAATTTAAGTTCGCGTCTTCCTCGATACAACCTGTCATGCATCCAACTACGATAGTACCAATAATATTGCATACTGCACATTTATACAATCATTGTCTTTTTTAATTACAAATAAGATTTTAATATATCAATCAATTTTGAAAATTTTGATAAAACATTAACTACAAGTATTAACTAACTTAATATTATTCTTAAACCTAAACTTATATTAAATAGAAACTACTTTTCATACAAACAAATTTTCTACTATTTTTTAATTATTCTTAATATATATAACTACAAACAAATTTCATACTATTTTATTTTTTATAAACTTAAATAATAAATTCTTTAAGATAAACATAAATATTTTGTTTTTCTTATAACTAAACATTTAATAAACATATAACATAACATATAATACATATAATTAGTAAACATATAATATAACATAACATATAATATAACATGGTTGAGGATTAACTTAGTTCAAGAATAAGTTTTTTAACTTACTCTAAATCATAGTCTTTGAATTAAATCTAATCTAATGGTTAAATTAGTCTTTGAATTAAATATAATCTAATGGTTAAATTAGTCTTTTACTTAATTCAAAGACTAGATTCAATTCAAAGACTATGATTTGAAGTAAGTTGAAAAAATTTACTCTTGTAATAAGTAGATCTTCACTCATATAACATAACATAAAATATAACATAGCATATAATACATAACATATAATATAACTTTTTTTTTATAAACTTATATAATAAACATTTTGTTTAAATATATATAAACTTATATATAAGACATATATGACATTTATATATATATATATATATATATATATATATATATATATATATATATATATATATATATATATATATATATATATATATATATATATATATATATATATATATATATATATATATATATATATATATATATATATATATATATATATATATATATATATATATATATATATATATATATATATATATATATATATATATATATATATATATATATATAAGTTTATTATATGTATATTTTGTTTAAATAACAATTTGTTCAAAAACATATATAACATTTTGTTTAGATATATAAAAAAATTATATATAGTTCATATATAACATTTTCTTTAAACATTTTTATAAACATATATATAATATATATAATAAACATTTAAATATCTAAAAATATATATATAATATAATAACATTTTGAGAAAAATATATAAATAACATAATATAATATAATATATATACCATTATGGCAGATATTTACCACCGTGGTAGAAGTTTTTACATAGTGGTTGTTTTCAACCTACCATCCATTTTCAGTTCTTGAACAGAATACATATACTATCGATTTTGAATAGATATTGTAAACATGATTATCCTTGAACTATGCTTAATGAATGTTTTCCTTTTTATTTTTCTTTTCAGCCAAACAATATGTCCTGTATAACTATTGTTGTGAATCAGATGTCTTTAAACAAAGTATAAAACAGTTTCTTTATGATCAAGAAACACATAAGGTTATGGGTTAACAAAGATAACAAGGTAAAATAGTAAAGAACAACAAGGATTGGTTATAAATTGATATTCTTTCCTTACTCTTAGAACAAGATTACAAGTATACAAGAATAATAAAATAACCTCTCTCTCTTGAAATTAGGATTTTATCTTCCTATTTTTCCTTATGCCAAGATTTAGAAACTAGCATCCTATTTATAAGAAAAATAACACACTAACCTAATGCGCTTTTTAACAATTATCCATTACAAGCTAACTTAGGATACAAGCTAACTTAAACAATTGGGCTTACAAGCAAGGCCCAATTCAACATGCTAACAATCCTAGCAATATTGACTAATGCATGTTAGAATAAACTTCGACTGCAACACGCATTACTTCGACAACAGCATGTGAACATACTTCGATCTCATGCTTAATTCCTGTCGAACTAGAAGCTACCCTTCGACCATACTGGAGTTCGATCCAACATATCACAAATCTCCACCTTGGATCTAACTCTATAACATCAAGAAACTAGCTTTCTTCATGCAGCTTAATCAACTGCATAAAGTAGAAAAACTTGCAACTGGGCAACATCTTGGTGATTATATCAGCAACAGTATAATCTGTCAAAACCTTCAGCACTTGGACTTCTCCATGCTTGATTACCCCTCTGACAAAATGCAGCCTCACATCAATGTGCATGGTTCGCTCATGATAGGCTGAATTCTTTGACAGGTGTATTTCACTTTGACTATCACATTTAACAGTGATAACTCGACCTTGAAGTTTTAGCTCCTTTACAAAACCATCAAACCACAATGCTTCCTTCGCAGCTTCAGTTAGGGCAATATATTCCACTTCAGTGGTTGATAAGGCAATGACCTTCTGAAGTGTTGCTTTCCAACTGATTGTTGTCCCAAACATAGTGAACGCATATTCAGAAATAGATTTTCTGGAATCCATACAACATGCATTATTAGAGTCAACATATCTTTTGATTGCTGCTTTACTATCTTCACCCAAGGTTCCACCATAAATTAGGACTCTATTCAGAGACTCATTTATGTACCTTAGAATCCACTTCAATGCTTGCAGTGAGCCTTTCCAGGATTCGACATGTACCTGCTTACAAGACTTACTGCATATGATATGTCGGCTCTAGTACAGTCCATAGAATACATCAAAGAACACATTATATTAGCATATGGAATGATATTCATATAAGTTCTTTCAATATCAGTGCTAGGACACAGATCTTTACTCAGCTTGAATTAAGGGTTTTCGGAGTCACAACAGGCTTTGAATTTGACATACTAAAATTTTCGAGAACCTTTCGTAGGTATGCCTCTTGAGATAAGTATAATTTCGACTGCTTTCTATCTCTTCGGATGTCAATCCCAAGAATCCTAGACGTAGCTCACAGATCTTTCATGTCGAACTCCTTATTGAGTTTAGCCTTCACCAACAGTACATCTTCGACATTGTTGCTTGCTATTAGAATATCATCCATATAGAGCAACAAAATAACAAATGAATTACCCGGTCGAAATCTGAAGTAAACACAGTGGTCGAACTCACTTCTGATGAAACTTATGCGTGCCATGAACTTGTCGAATCTCATATTCCATTGTCGAGGAGATTGTTTTAGTCCATATAAGGATCTATTCAGCTTGCACACATAATATTCCTTCTCTTTTTCTACATACCCTTCAGGTTGCCTCATCAGGATTGTTTCATTTAAATCACCATACAAGAACGTAGTCTTCACATCCATATGTTCCAATTCATGGTCGAACTGTGCCACGGTGGCAAGCAACATTCGAATGGATTTGTGCTTCACAATAAGAGACACATCATTGAAGTCGACACCTTCTTTCTGAGTGAAAACCCCAGTAACCAATCTTGCCTTGTATCTCATCGTTGCCACTCCTTTGATTCCTTCCTTAACCTTTAAAATCCATTTATAGCTGACTAACCTAGCTCTAGCAGGTTTCTTGATCAGTTCACAGGTATTGTTATCATGAAGAGATTTCATCTTATCACCCATGGCCTTCAGCCATTCAGTCTTCTTTCGACTCCTCATAACTTCCTTATAGTCTCTAGGTTCTTCGTATAGAACCTCACTTGCAGAGATTAAGGCATAAGCTATAAGATCTGCATACCTAAGTCTCTGAGGTGGCTTGATGACTCTCCTCGACCTGTCTCTTACTAGAAGGTAGTCATTATCAGTCTCCTCATCTACGACAACATCTTTTACATCTTCTTCGACTTCATCTAGGGCACGCAATGCATCATCAACATGTTCCACCTCAACAGGAACCTCTACCTATTCCAAATCTTCGTCAGCATCATCAGTTTTCTTGAAAGCCATTTATGCTTCATTGAAAACTATATCTCAACTGGTGACACACCTACTGTGACCTGGCTTTATGCATCATTGCCTATAAGCTTTGACTCCTTCAAGGTATCCCATCAAACATGTATTTCAGAGCTCTATGTTCGACCTTGTCTTGCCTAATATGGGTATAGGCCACACAACCAAATACTCTCAGTCTATCGTGACTAGGTGGATGTCCCGACCAAACTTCTCAGGTGTCTTCATTCCCAAGGCAGTCGAGGGACATCTATTCATCAGGTAAGCTGCTGCCGAAACAGCTTCCGCCCAAAACACCTTCTTCAATCCAGCACAAACCAACATGCATCTAACCCTTTCAAGGATTGTTCAATTGAATCTCTCGGCTAAGCCATTTTGTTGAGGAGTACCTGCTACATTATTATGCCTTGCAATCCCAGACTCAACACAGTAATTGTCGAACGCTTCTTCGCAGAACTAAAGGCCATTGTCGGTTTTCAACCTCTTAACCTTTCTGCCTGTTTGAGTTTCGAGCAGAATCTTCCAACTTTTGAAATTCTCAAAAGTTTCATCCTTCGTCTTCTGAATGAATACCCATAGCTTTTTGGAATATTCATCAGCGATTGATAGAAAATATCTTGCGCCTGAGTGTGAAGGATTCCTTGCAGGCCCCCAAAGATCAGCATGAATGTAATCTAGGGATCCATGTGTTCTTTGCTTGCCTTTGTGAAACATCGCCTATAGGATTTACCAAATACACAAGATTCACAAAACTCTAACTTTTCGACTTTGTCACCTCCTAGCAGGTTCTGCTTCCCCAATTCGACTAGGCCTTTTTCGCTGACATGGCCCAATCTCATGTGCCGTAATTCTATCTTCGACACAGGTTTCATGGATGCAACATTTATCGAACCACTTACAACCTCAACCTCAAGGGTATATAAGCCTTGTTTCTTCACGTCTCTCAAGACTTCCTTCAACCCCTTCATGAATCTTAGGATACTTTTCTCTCCTTGAAAAACATATTCTTTTATGTCGAATTTACCGAGAAATCAAATTTCTCTTCAAGTCAGGTACATACCTGACTTCAGTCAATAACCTTATTGACTCATCATGGAGCTTGAATCTCACATATCCAATACCTGCAATATTGCAACATTTGTTGTTTCCCAGCAACACAGATCCACCATCTTGATCACATAGCTCCTCAA